GTCCAACTCAGCAACTGCTGAATGTAGTCCTACTTATCTGTATCCTGACCCCATCATGCCAGGCACGAACGTCTAATTTAATTATTGCACCGTGTAAAGATAAGAATTATTTTCCCTGTTTTTCTAAACAAGATAACATCAAAATTGCAACTTGGCAGGGCTCACTGGTAAGTTCACTGTGTTGCCACATGGAAAATTAGACAGTAGAGCAACAACAAAAACAAACCCTTTTCAGTCAGCAAATAACTGCGTCTCACTATCAGGACAAGCAGCCCAGGAGAGCAGCAAGAAAGGAGGCATGATTGTGACCCACCTTCTTAAACTAATTGGCAGATGGGCTTTTTTAAAGCCAGCTGGAGAGATGGAAGATGTAGGTGTACCTAGGGGCTTTTCTCCATCCCTTTCTGGACAGTCTGCTCAGTACTCAGTACTTCCTATCTATTTGGGTAATAATGAAACAGATCATTTCAAGAGGCACTTCTGCACACTACGGAAGTGTACGTGACACACTAAAATGGATAATTCACGATCTTGTCTCAAGTTAATGATACCTGAAAATAATCTTTTTTCTACCTCAAAGCCAAAGTAATATAAATCAATTTTCCATTTATATGATTATTCAATTCATAGAACAAAGATATATTTCTATTCCTGATAAAATCTATACATTACATTCAGTAATATTCAGGAATGTAAAGATAGTAACGTCCTCCTATAGAGAGTAAATTCACTTGCTCTTCCTTGAGGCAAATGAACAACAGCCAAAATGAACAGGGGTGTGATTTATTCCTTCCCATTGGCAGTCTTCACTTCCTTAACTCCTCAAATCTAGCACTTTCTGGCCTCTATTAAGGATTGTCAAGCTATTCTACTGTGCTGCAATGCCCTTTTGAATCACACGATGCTCTTAGGCTGTCATGATGCAGCTGTAATCTGCACTAGGACCACCCTGGAGTCAGTGGTGGTACCATACCTCTCCTCCTTGTCTGTGCACCCAGCTCTCCAATAGCCCAGTGAAACTCCGGAACCGATTTTTCTCAGGTCTGGAACATCAAAGTTCAGAAATAGAAAAGTCTTATGAATGAGCCGCGTTCTCCTAATAGCAGCAGTTGGTCATGGAGAAGTTTGCAGCTGGATTCAGGGTGCCCTGAACTATAGAGCTACTGATGACATTGAACAAGAATTCAGGCTTGAATTAGTGATTATGAGTACGTTCAGATTTGGCTACCAAAACTGAGCTGGTTTAAAGGGGTTCAATTTTAGGAGTGGTGAACACCACCTAGAAGGTTCCCTTACAGAATCTCAGTGTAGGCTACCGTTATATTTTTTAACACCTATTAACTTCTTCAGCATTGTAAACAAAATATGCTTCAGATTTCTTTCACCTCAACAGCTTCCACTTCCAACAACAACAAAAAAATTAATAAACCTTGAAGGATCCATTTGAAAACCAGGAATAAATCATTCGTCATTGTCTTTTGTGATGTTTTATGTAACACAATGCTTTTCTGAAGAAAGTTTCTCTTGATGGCCTCCATCTGGTGTAACCCCTAAGGGCAAGTTAGGACTCTGTAAGAGACCTGCAGGGCCCCCTAAAACATTTCTGAGAAAAGTGAAAGACTCATTCCAACAGACGCAAGAGAGTTCACAAACAAAGGAGTTATTCATAGCTTTATCGCAGCTTGGAGTGAGGGTGTGAAAATATTGAGAAAGCTTTGTCACTAATTTCTAGTCAAAGCTTGCAAAACACAATTGCTTTGCAAGCCTTATTTTAGCTGGTGAATATGTTTTAGTTTAAGTCACTGGTACAAAACACGTGCTGTCAGGGCGGTTGCTACATCAGCCTTTCGGGCAGACAGTTACAACTGAACAAGGATTAACAAGTCTTGGCTATATGCAAAGGGCTCATAGTTCCTTAAACACAATGCTTATATATGGACTTTTCTTTTGTGAGTCTGCTTCAGTTCTTCAGAACTATGCAAAAGGCAAACAAAACCCAGCAATGAATGGTTCTGATGTATCCAAAATCCATATAGCTGACATTATGCTTGACACTTCCCTGAAGTTACTGGAGTGGCTTTACAATACCTGTAAATATTATTTAAATTCAGCAAGCTATACAAAGGCAAATAGCAAAAAAAAACCCAAACTAAACCAAAACCAAAACCAAAAAAGCATTATACTGTGAAGCTTCCATGCAGACTTCTGGCATAAGAAAACTATTTTCAAAAAATGTCTTCCTGTTGAGGAAGAATGCAAAAGGCATGTTTCCTACAAAATGGTAAATTAAAGGAGCATTGTTTATTTTGAAATCAAGCTATTTTTCACTTAGGACTGAAAAGGGCTTTCAGGAATATTCTCTCTTCCTGAGGACCCTAGTTGCTAATTTTGATGCTTTTAAAGCAGTATTTTCTTTTCTGTAAATGCTTTTCTCTTCCCTGTGGTAAACAGAATAAACTGACAGACTGCTTTGCTGGCACTAAAATACATGAAGTCAACAAACTGCAAAAGAGCGAAACTGTCTTTCTTCCATTCCCCATCTGCTGCAGGCAGCTGAAGAGTTACTTATAGCAACCGTAGATTAGGAAAAAAATTCACACTTCTGTAGAAATTGCCAACAGTAGGCTCGCTTGGAGAGCTTGGCTTTATTTGTAGACATTTCCAAACATTATTTGTTCTTTTTTAGGGCTTGTTTCAAAATCCATCAAAGCCAGAGACAAGACTTCCATTAATTCCAATGGCTTTGGAGGAGATTCAGAGAGGACAGCCTGTGGCACCTCCAGCTCTGGCATTTTTAGCAGTATGTTCATGAAGTCAAATTGCCAGTTGCAGAGAGAGAACTGGACGATGCTACAGAATCCATTCATCAGAAATGCGAGTCAATGGCACCTACTGGAAATGCATAATCTGCATTACTAAGCCAGATACATTTAAGTACAGTCTCCTTCGTCACACCTATGTTTTCAGTAACAGGCTGTGTTTCTCATACCGAAAAGGACAAAATGGGAGGGCTGGCTGCCAGCTTCTGCGAAGCCTGGCAAGTTAGCACAGCCCAAGAAGAAGCAAGGATTCTGAAGGAAATGTCATGAAAATATACAGTGGCCAACTAACTGAACAGCAGCTGCCCTCAGCTCTGACTTTTGCAATAGCTTGAATATAAAACAGTTGGGTTTCGTGTTCCCAAACTGAAGCCTATGAAGTTTTGTATGCAGCCCAAAAGGGACTCCTAATTTGCAGACATCCCCAACATAACCTGCTGATACTCCTAGTTATATGGTCTCTTCCAGGAAGGGGACGGGTGTCTGGGCACTGACTGGGCCAGATCCATCAGCTAATTAGAATATGGATTGGCCTTCTCCAGAGCTGGGAAACCCAGTCTGAATGTTCACATCTCAGCTGATCCGTAAGTCCTCCCTATTAATCAGTCAGAAATTAATGTGGGATCTGCTCCAAGGGTTCCATAGCTGAGTTAAGTCTTGATTTTCAAGGGCGGTGGGAATGGAGACATCCAGCATAGTGTCTATCTCTCCATCACAGTGCATTTTCTTTTCCTTTCCTCTCCTCCCCTACAATTGTCCTACCCATTAAGCAGTTTCCCATGAACTTTATCTTGAAAACCCTGATCATAGTCCTGCTTTATCCAGCTGAGCAAGGTGACTATGAACTGGAGGTCCAGAAAGGTCTTGGGACTGAAGATCACACTTAAATGCTTACTGGATGCAGTACACATACTTTACTTTGCAAGAAAGCTTTAGAGTTAGAGCTAGACTGGCATACCATGAGATCTGTGCATTACCTTCAGCTCAATAGTGCAATGCAGGTGGCATTTTTTCAACGCAGGAATTCAACCACACGTCACCGCTTCCTGCATCTCTGTGACGCAGTACCTGGCTCACTGATCCCTGTCTAAATATAAGGGCATGTTCTTTCAGTGTCAGGTTATGGTGGTATAAATTAATAATAATTGCATCAAATTCAATGGGGTTAATGCCAAGGACAGGAGGATCGCAATAGTCAAAGATCCTTATTTGTACTGTATTTCTGCTAATCCAGTGGCCTTGTAAACCTGATGGATATTTTTTGTAAGGAAGTTCAGATGCACTTAGGGATTTCAGCTCCTAAATGTTGCTGGGCTGGCTTCCCAAAGTCCATCAGCAGCCTTTGGACTGTGCGTATAGGGCTCCCAAGTAGTTCTGATGATTAAGGCAATACTTTCATCTTTTCTAAATCACTGTTTCAACTTCTGGCCTTCTCTTCTACCACCTATCAGGTATAAACATTGTAGCTCTAAATAGTTAAGCAGCTTAGCTTTTAAGGATGATCAGAGCATTTCACTTGGGATGTGGAGCTCTAAACAGACATAATACTTCAAAATGAAGCTTACTTGGGACAGCTGAGATTAACCTGCAGATGTGTAAACAGGTGGGCAGGATGAATATGCTACAATAATTATAGACATTGCATTAGCATCTGAAAGAAGCAGCTCAAACAATCAGCATACAAAAGATGCACGTCAAATAATAATTATTAAAAATAAAGCAATCCAAATCAATCAAATCTATCTAGAGGAACACCATGTGTTTTCCCATCTCATAACTCCTTGTCTTTCTCATTTCCTCATTCTCCTCTTGTTCTTACTATTGTATCTCTTTGTTGTTTTTGTAAAGGCCTCCTGCTTTAATGTTCACACAATGATGCCTTTGACGTAGGAGCTTTATCTCACTTTCCCACGTGTCCAATGGCAGCATATATCAACTTTATCTTCTCTGCTCATGAGAAAAGCAATACTTTAATGTCTTCTCTTCAAACTGACTTCACATAGAATGAGACATTTATACAATAGGCCTCACAATGGCCACTGCAGTGACTTAGCATCAACACGTGTTTTGTGTGTCCTCAGACGCAATCACCATTATATATTAGAAGTAATCTGTTCCATGTTCTCTTGCTGCTGTTGCAAGCACCAAAGAGGAAGAAGAAATGCTGATGACATGACAAGGATGACTTCTCAAGCTTTTGAAGAAGGCAGCAAAAAGAGTGGTGATGTGATAAGCAAGACAAGTGCCACACAGGGCCCTAAGCTGAGAATGTGGCTTGCAATTGCAGTTCTCATTTCGCTGGTTTTATGTTCGGCTGTGGAGGAAGCAACGGTTGATGAAGGAATACCTTGCTCAAAGTACCAGCTAGCTTTCAACCATTCGTGCTATGAGTTTGTTAGACTCCAGCGTACCTTCACAAGTGCGCAGAGCTGGTGTGAGAGAGGAGGAGGGCACCTTGTCTTTATTGAAAATGAGGAAACTCAAGAGTTCTTGCAAAAACATATTGCTGAGGATCAGGAATGGTGGATAGGACTGATCTCACTGAATGAAACTACTGACGGTAGGTGGTTTTGATATCATGTCTTCTTTAAAACTGTATCAGCCCATGATGCTTACTTAACATGGTAACAAATGCATTTAGTCCCTCTGTAGACATCTGCTGAAAAGCCACTGTCTTTTGCTGCTGTAACTTCAGATTTATATTAAGATGTTTTAATTGCCTCCTTCACTTCCCAGTTGCATGTTGTCACCCTTTTCATTGGATCTTGTGGTTGTGTGAACATATGGTGAATTATATCAGCTTGCTGGCCTAGTGAAAAAAATGTGCTGGGTTAGGTCTCCTGTGGAAGAGCAAGCTGAGACAATTCATCACACTAGGAAGTTCTGCAAGATCTGGTGCAAAGGAAATGGTAGAATCTTGAGGCTAGAAGCACAGGCAGAAGTGGTGGTGTTTCTTTCAATGATTGTATTAGGCTAAATATAAAATGTAATCGAAGATCCCTACACAGACTATACCACCTCTGCTTCAGTAGGCGCAGGGCTACAGTCCTGCTCTGCAGGCTCTGACTCTGTAATTGTATTACTGTGGAAAATAAACATTCGGGACACAATTACTTTGTTCACAGGGTCAATGATTTGGCTGGATACTTCAAATATAAGCTACAGTAACTGGTACAAGGATCAGCCATCTCCCTTCTCATCCACATGTGGGTACATCCTGAAGAATGCCAAGTATCAGTGGGGTGTGACTGAAAATTGCAGCCAGGAATTTGACTTCATTTGCGAGTTTGGTAAGATACACAACAGCTGGAACTGAGAAGTGAGCATGTCGTGTTCACAACTGTGCACAAACTGCCTTGTTGCTTTCAAAGCGGCTGCGCAATAACTTAATCAAGCTTATTAAAAGTGAACAAGCAAAAAGCCATATAACCCCAGCAGGTGCTCTTTTTCCAGGGCGCTGATGTAAGATTCGATCCAAAGAAAGGAAGTACCCTGAAATCACTGGGAGATGTAGGTGCTTGGCAACTAGCCATTAAGGTCCAGGTTTCCAATAGAGGGCAAGTGAAATAGAAATGGATCTGAGAGTGACTCTAAAGGTGCAGCAGTCCATGTCTACAGTGGACATAAGCTAGCTAGTTTAAAGCCAATTTGAGTACTGCATCATAGCATGGGTGCAAGAATAAACTCCTACGCCACCATGGTATCTGATCTAGGTGGGACCTTTTGAATGCCCTGTAAAAATATGCATAATCATAAATATGTGCCAAAATAATTTCCATTTGTAATTGAAGCAAAAATAAAGCCAGGCTTCCAGAGATACCACTCCTAGCAGCCTGGAGTAAGCAAAGGTCAGAGCAAGTTTTCTCTTTTCTTCTCAGACCCTTCCATCATTTGAAGTTTGAGGGCTTCCCCAGGACAAGGAAGCAGACAGGAACCTGTGCTTCCTGGTGGCATTTCAGTGCACAGACAGAAAATCTGCAGACATTGTGTCCCTTAAATTGTGACTTGGAACAAACAGTCCTGGAAAAGAATGCTGGCAATATTGTCCCTTTCAACATATAGATATGAGGGGAATTTGTGTTCCTCACACCTTGCACATAAGCCAAGCATTTTAAACTGTAACTAGGAACTAAGGTCATAAGCACTGAAAGGACAGTCTGGCTGTAGGCTTACTAATATAAAAAGTCTTCGAATCTAGTATGCAAGTACAGGTTTCCACAAGCCCTAGAATTGCTACTGTCCTGGTCCAGTACTGTACTCCTTCTGACATAATTAACAAGTCATTCCACAATAGCAAAAGTAATAAAGTTTTGTTTCCGGTTCCGATTTTCTGTTCCACATCCCCTCCCTCCCCTCCTCCTCAGCACTCCCAGATCACTCCCATACACCCACTTCTGCAAATACTTTCCACTTCCTCAGCTCCCTCCCCTGTAGTAGTGCAGCTGCTCTGGAGCTCCAACTGTGTGTGCCGGCCAGTTGAACCCCACATCATGGAACAGACAAACATTGGGTTATGAACCCTACTCCTAATAGAGGCACTGAAGTACCTCTTTCTCTTCTACCTAGCTATTGATTTTAACGACATTTAGGGTGGTTTAAGGTTTATATCTATACATCAAATTTGGCTGAAGATGACTAACTTGAAAAATGATTTGGGGGAGAGGAAATTGGCAGATAGCACAATCCCTTAAGCTTATTTTCCTTGCAAAAACAGACCAAAATTATTTTTCTGTTACAACCATGGTAGACAACTGTCTGTAAGAAAACTATCATCTCTTACCATAGGATCTGACTTAAAGCTTATTAAATTCAAAGACTGTTTGCATTATTGAGTAACAATGTCCTACATTACATCCATCATTCCATTACCCAGGAAACAGAAAAGATTGAGGCAATTATAGCCTTGTTTTCAGTATCTACAGCCCATGTCCATTAATACACATACATACTTCAATAACAGAGTAGACTCCTCATCTACCAGCTTTGTATGCAAGGAATTAGATTCAATATCCCAAAGAAACAAGGACGATGTTTTTATTAGTTTCTCTGGATGTTGAATGTTTGGAAGTTCCTGCAACCTGACCGTGCTTCAGTTTGTCGGGGCATTGTGATCCTTAACACCTTCACGCACAGTTGCTGCGAGGCTTGGTTCACACTAACATTGAGTTTGAAACTTCAAATAGGTAAATCCAAATGGTACCAGTATTTGAATTTAAGATCTTTGATTCCTGATAACTTGTCTACTTGATCATTTGAGCTAGGTATATGTATACAGACAAGTAACCAGACCATGTTCTGTCTTCATCCCCTCTTTGGCCATCTACCCTGGCATTACTTGTGTTTCTCAATGCAAGTAAAAACTTTCCTTGTTATTATTTCTTATTATTTCTATTCTGCTTTTTGGTGCTCTGTAGGTTAGCAATTTGTTGTAGTAAAAATATATGTATTGAACCAGAGTTTGTACACAGGAACATAAACCAGGTTCTGTACACTTTTCCATGTAAAAGTTGCTGAGACAGCAAGTACTACGGGAATTCTCTATAAAAAGTAAAGAACAAAAAAATGTATGAGATGATAGTCCGTATTAGAATTTAACAGCAAATTATTTTTCAAGCTTCTTTAGAGAGGTCTAATCTGTAAACTGATCATGTTGCTATAGTTACAGCCAGGCTTAGATTTAGTCTTTAAATAACAATAGCACACAATTACTGCAGTGTGCACACTTTGGCACTGTTAATCAAGGTACTTAAGGGGAATGATCGAAACAGCAACTGGAGGACAATGTATTTAAACCTGAGACAGCTGAAACAAAAACATTCTTTTGCAACACTCCCATATGAGAAGAGTCTTTCGCATCCTCCTCTTCAGGGTATTAAGTATCCTGATTACTACAGGATACTAATAATTCCGAAAGATAATTAACTGTCCCAGATTAATCACAGAATGAGGTGTATGCTTTTAGATATGACCTTAGTCATTTGAGCA